TGAAATTATTATCCTTACAAATTGTCTTCAAAGAATTATTCAAAACATAAGGTCCAGATTTTTTCTTCATATCCCAAATTCTCAAATCTGCAGTTTGATCTTTAAGCAATGGCTCAATTATCTTCACTTTCATAGCCATTTTCCGTCTCTTACTGTCGTACTTTGACAGATTTGTCTTCTCTTCACTGCTCAATAACTCCTCTCTAATCTGATTCATCGGAATGGTGAGCCAATTTTGATCTTTCTTTATATCAGTACGGAACAATCGCTTATGTATCACCAACTTTTCGCTACAGACAGTTCTACCATGTGCTAGGGCAAGAATTGCGTTGTATGGGCAATGGAGGGACTGCATCGTCCGTCAATATATTTGAAATTGTTGTATTTTATATTTTAATAGGTGAAACTCTATGGATGAAAAATGAATTGAAGGAAAGAAGCAAAATGTGGCGAAAAATGGCAAAATCTAAAGTACAATGACTAACTTGCATTATATGAAAAAATTGAGGATTTGAGAGCAAGCATTAATTTAATTGGGCATTGGAATTAATTGGGTCACAATGGACTTAAAATTAGACACAAAATATTGATGGCTAGGTTGGAGGGAGCAGCAGGGAAAAAAAATAGAGAGGAGGAAGAAAAACACTGCACAGCTGTGGAAAAAGAAAAACTGGAAATGATGGCTGCTGAGGAATATTATATACGCACATTGGCAGCTTTGAGAATAAAAAAGGGGAATTGAATTTTATTAACTACACGAATATAGAGGCTGGAGAATTGAGAAGCAGAACATATATATATATATATATAGAAAACATGAGAAAAAGGAAAGAAGCACATACACGCAAACGACAGGAAAATTTGGCAGCTTCATAATCACGTTTCATCAATTTTTGGTGATGTCATTCCACTTTTATATGTTTAATTTCGATATTATATTAGGCTAGATTTTTATATTGCTAAAATATAGATGAATCCTTATTTTGAAGTTTTTAATATTAATTAATTATTTTGACTTTAATTTGTTTAAATGTTTGGATGTTTATTATGGTTTAGTATGTTTTTCAATTAATTGGTCATTAATTGAATTGTTTGTGCATTTTATCGTCACCGAGAGAGATAATATGATCGTTAGCACGTAATAATAAGTATTGTGAGGTTCGATACAGGATAGAGATATACATCTATGTTTCGCATGATTTTTTAGATGTTCTAACTTGTTTAATGATTTCTTATATGTTGGTATCTTTTATAGAGATATAAAAAGGTTACATATATGATTAAATTTAATTGCTATCAAGAGAAGTTTTTAAATAAATGTGGAACTTCGAGCAACTCACATGATAACAAAGAGTCATTGTAATTGTTGTACTAAAAATGGATTAACAAGGGAGATTTTACATCTTAACAATGTACTTCAAAAGTTTGATAAACTTTTACTTTGATTTCTAGTACAAGATACAAATTTATTACAATTTATTATTGTTATTCGATTAAGGGTATTATTAACTTTAACTCGATAAAACATTTAGTTCTCGTGGGTTTGACACTTTAATACACACTACTATATTACTTGATTAAGATCTCGTTCACTTGTGGGTTTTCAAATGATCATCAAGCTAGCCCAAAAATCGACAACCTGCAACTAAAACTGGGTTAACGGACCGTATTGCAATTATCCCGGTCCTTTAATAATTTGAATATGCTATTATTTCATATACAAATTGATCAACTAATTAAATACTTGTGAACAATTCAATAACATTAATGGTTAAAAAAAATAAAAGATTCAAAATATATTTAATCTAAACAAACTATCCTTCCAATCAAAGGTTGTAATAAAGAAATATTCTTGCCCAACTTTGAATTCTAATGGACGTTCAATTGATGTTGGACATGGATTTGGAATTAACACAATAGTTGACTATTGGCCAAAAAAATTGATAAACTTGGGTTAAAATTCAGGTGTTAATTTTTTTTTTATTATTTTTTTGTAAAATTTTTAAGCCCCTGTTTGGTGGCCATTTTTTGGAAAAATATTATTTTACATAGTGTTTTTTGTTTTTTTTTTCGAAGAATGTGACGTTAAAAAGTAGGAAAAATATTGGTTTTGCGTTTAAAATATTTTGTTGTGTAAACGTGTTTGAAAATGAGTATGTACAAAAAATTTGAACGAATGAGAGAGAAATAAGGATTAAAGCTCACAATAAAATGAGAGAAATAATTCAAAGAGTGTAATTAATTATTTATTCATGAATACACCGATACCAGGGCAACACACAAGCTGGTATTGTTGTTTTCCGTAAAATTGTTAATGGTATTGTTGATGTATATTTTGCAAATTAGTCACGGGTATAATCATATTTTGAAGTAATTTGAAAGTGAAAATGTTTTATCATCAATGCTGCGCCTGCGTTTTTATTCAAGTCTTTCACATCATAAAGTAATCACGTACACTAAACAGTAGAATAATTTAACTTTTTCCCTTTGGAAAACTTAATTGTAAGATTATGTTCTCGCTCGAGCATAAAAAAAGGAAAATATTATTTAAATGAATAGCTCATTTTAAACTGTAAACTCCACTTATCTATACTGACCCCCATCAATTTCTTACCACACTTTTTCCATCTGTTTGGACCAACATTTTCACACATATTGCCAATTTGACTGCTTAATTGGTGTTTGGCAATACTATATACGACTCCATTAATAAGTGAAAAAATAAACTAAAATAACGGGGTTCGTTGTTGGAAATTAAGACCCGTACGTGTTCACATTAAAGGGTATAATCATATTTTGAAAGTGAAAATATTTTATAATCAATGCCGAGTTTTTATTCAAGTCTTTTACATCATAAAAGTACACTTAAAAAGTATAATAATTTAACTGCTTTGCCACCGCACATCACAACCACCACCACCCAATTACAAACACCACCAGAATTTGCTAACCACCACCAACCCGAAATCAAAATCCAAGGCCGACAGATATTAAATATGAGTAGCGGAGAAACACTAGATCCACGTCGTCGCTACTACAGTCATCGAGAGAAATTCAGATCCACATCCAGATCTGTTGAGGAGTTGGAGACGAAGACGGAGAAAGAGAAATTCAGATTATGCCTCACGAGCTGGTGTCGACGGCTTCATTGAGAGGGAGATGGAGATCCGGTGGAGAAGAAGCAACGAGAAGAAGTAAAAAATGGTGGAGTAGTCGTCATGAGGAGAGAGTGGAGAACGGTGAAAGAGTGGAGAAATTGTGAGAGACGGCGAGGGGAAGAACGGTGGTGGCGGTGGGAGGAGAAGAACGGCGGTGGCGACGGGAGGAGAGAAAATTGACGAGATGAAAAAAGTAAATTTTAGGTTTGATTATGGTTATTTTAATTGTGATGAAATAATATAATTAATATTTAATAAGAAAACTTGATTTTTGAAAAGTTAAACTATTGATCTGATTTGTGAAATTGGTATTTTAAATACCTGTCTGGGTGTAATTTCCTCTTTTTTATTTGTGGTAATTACATTAATCAAGCTATTTAAAAATTGGTTTTTAAAAATCAGGTCAACAATTTTTTTATTCAAAAATCAGGTAATATATTAAAAACCTAATTTATCTCTCCACTTCCTTCCCCCCTCTCTCTCACATCCCTCATCTTCCCCATTATTTTCCTCTATCAAACGCAACGGTGGCACCTCCCTCCTTCC